ACATTTACCACACTAGGTGCCGGGCCATTTCAAGGCCCTGGGATCCAGTGATGAACAAACCCCCAGGATCTCTGCTCTCAAGGAGCTTATGGTGAGCTAGTAAGCACACGAATACTTGTGATGGCAGTCAAGAAGTCACATGTGATGAAGACACGAAAGCAGGCTAATGTGATAGAGTGTGGCTGCAGGAGGGGCCCTTTTAGAGTGTCACTCCTGGAGGAGGTGTCATTTAAGAACATTCCCGATTGTCAGGAATGAGGCAGCATGGGAAAGATGGGGTTAAGCGTTCCGATCGGAGAGAACAACATGTGCAAAACCTCAGCTGGGAACAGGTTATGCTTGCTTGTGCCCAGGGTGCCCCGAGTTCCATCAGCCAGAGCCGGTGGTCTGCATGAAGTGTGAGAGGGAGGCGGGGGCCTGGTAGTTCGGGGCCTGGAGGGCATCTTAGCACCGATTCTCTTTCCACCTCCCCTCCCGACGTGTCTGCTTCACAGTTGTTCCTTCTGCAGACTGGTTTCCCCTGCTGCCCCAGCCACACAGCAGAACAGGACTGCCCTCAGGTACCAAGTTCACCCTTAGTGGACTCACTCACAGGGACTGTCTCAATCATTTTCCAGGAAAGCACTGGTCCAATTACCTGTAGCCCAAACCATGGCAGATGCCAGCAGCTGAGCTGGGCCCCAGGAGTTCCGTGATGAGAACAGGGCAAGCACTCCAAAATTACCTCCCCCAGATGCGACTGGACTAGGCCCCGTCTCCCAGCCCGACGATTCTGAGAGTGCAGAATCCACATTGTTCTGAAGCAGTCTCAACGTTCAGGAGGAGTTGATTTAAATCAGTTCTCACACCTAAGTGAGCACCAGAGCTACCTGCAGGGTTTGGTAGAACACAGATGGTTGGACCCCCTCCCCGCCCCGGCCCCAACCTCAGAGTTTCTGATTCAGTAGGTCTAGGTTGCGGCCTGAAAATGTGCCTTTTCTAACAAGTTCTGATGATGCTTTAAATGCTTTTGTTCCCAAAGCCGGGTCCAGCTCCCTGGCCCTGCCAGTTTCTTCAAACTGCAGGTTTTGGAGCGGGAAGGACTGGAGTCAGGGGTAGGGCCTGGCATGTGCAACCAGCGTTCTGGATCCCTCTGGATACCAGGGTTTGAGAATCATGGTTTTAAAATGTTTCAGAACACCATGGGGAAATAAAAGGTGACCAGCCGCTGGAAGTTTGCTCAGTGTCCTTAAATGGTTAAAATGGTTAATTAATCAGTGTGTTTGGATTGGAACAAGACAAAACAAGCCCTCCACTTTCAGCAGAGGAGATGAGCATTTTCTCAGAATCCTGCATCTGGGTGGGTAAGAACCCTTTACTCTGGGCATTTTCATTTCTCCCTGCAGGAGGAGACCGGGTCCCACTCCTGGCGGGGCTCGCTCGCTGCTCAGCGTCCATAAATACAGGGAGAAAGTTTGGGGACGCGCCCTCCGAGCCCTGGCTCCCGGGGTGGCGCCGGCGACCCGCCGCCTGCCGAGAGGTGGGCGCCGAGGCCTCGCTGGGGGTCCGCCAATGAAGCGCCGAGGAACTCCATGACCTCATCGGGAGGCTCTGTCACTGGCTGCCGCCGCCGCGCCGGGCCCGCCCCTTCTATTAGAGCTGGGGATTTCTGCGTGGGCCCCGCCCCCTAGAGTGAAGGCCCCTTGGGTTCCTAACCGGGTCTGCAAGCTTGGCAGGCTTCTCTTCAGATTCCCCAGAAGAAAACTTCTGCTTCCTGAGAAAGACTTGAGTGTTCCTTTCAACCTGCCAAAGCACTGGTTTTCTGCGCTGACTTTTCACTGATGTAACTGGGGTTTGGCTGGTGCTCGCATCCTTTCCTAAGTACCTGACACATCACACTTACTTCCCACTTAGTTAAATAGTGTATTCTGACGAGCTTTGTCTTCCTTCCCAGTGGATGACTTTCTCAAGCCCGATCTTACTGTGGAATGCTAGTGATCTTCTCTCTCACATTTAACCGGGAATTGACTGACGTCCAGAGAGGGAATAGGACTTTCACAAGGTCACACAATCAGGTCAGTTACAGAGATGAAAATCAGATCCAGGGCTTCTAACTCCAACTTCGGTGTCACACATTCGCCACTTTGGCAAGCAGACCAGACCTGAAATCATTTTTCAAGGCTTGGCTCAGGGGTTACCGCCTGTAGGAAGACTTCCTATCCTGACGCCTCAAAGTGGGCCAAGGGCTTCCCCAGTCCCTGGTGCTCCTCTGAGTCCCAACTACAGAGCTGTCCTTGATTTCTTTTTCCCTTTGCCCAATTGGACTGTAAGTTCCTTGAGGGATGGCATCACATTTTATACAATTTTGTATCCTCAGACACAATAGATGCTTAATCAATGCTTGTTGAATTAGACTGTGGAAACTTTGCATGGTAGTGGTGTTGTCCAGGGAAAGATCACTCGCAATTCCTAACAAAAGCAGATTCTGTGTTTTTGAGGCTCTTTCACACAGACTGAGAATTAGCTTCTTTTTACTAGTAAAGTGTTTGAAATGAAAATGTCACAACTGTTTGCTAATACAACTCTGTAGGGACAACCAGATCCTTTGTGCTCACCGGGTTCCTGATTGCCCTTTCAAACTCCAGATGTGTGAATCAACCATTTTTCAAATCAAACCAGCCCATGTATTCTCCTCTGTGCAAAGTCTGCCGGGAAGCTTAAAAATCATTCTAGTTATACTCTTGACTAGCTGACAGGTACAATGTTCTCCCCTGTATCCATGTAGTTTTTGATCTTTACATTGCTGTTCATTCATACATACAAGTGGGTGTTTTATCATAAACCCACTCTTTGCCTTTCTGGAAAAAGGTAGGACAGGTCATATACAAAGTACCAGGAAAGTGTTCCCCGAACTCTGTGTGAAAAACACTCATGAAGATAAGGGATTCCTATCACACAGGCTTAAACCCAAACCAACTTGGTTGTTATTATGGTGTCCAAAGCCTATGCAAGGTCATCATGGATGGAGACGGGCGGTGGACATTCACAGAACTGGTCCAGCCTCATCCTGGGCAGGGTACACAGACCTGAGACATGTGGATATTCTCAACCTTGGAGAAGTAGGCTCAAGAATGGGACCAAGACAGTTCTCAGCACTTTTCCAGGGCCTGAAGGATGGCCTTTTAAAAGACTTCCCTTTCTCTAGTTCCAAATCCATGCTCACCAAGCAACCTCCTAAAACAGTTTCAGCTTTGCATGCATCCTGACACTGGGAATGGGGTCTCCAGGGATAGGATACTGGGTAGGAATGGCTTCCATCATAAATGAAAGTTGCCATGGGGGGTACACATTGATCTGTGGTGAGCTTCATTAGTGGGAGTGGGTGGAGCAAAAGCACCCGGAGCACCCACGTGTTTCTGGACTTGGCAAAGCTGAAGGCCAGCCTAGGAACATGGTTTCCACATGCAGGTCATGCCAGGCCCAGGCCCTCCTTGAGCCGCCAGCCAGCCTCCCATCCCTGGTGACCTGGCTAGCCCTGTCAGATGGCGACAGATGGTAAACTAGACACACCCACTTCAGCGTCTGCAGTGGGGCTGCCCAGCAGCAGGTGGCCTTTGGGAAGAAACTCAGGGGGCCCTCCGGACACTTCAAGGGGGAGGGGCATAGAGCCATCTTGAGTCATCCTCAGAAACTCATCACAACAGCACGGATGCAGCTTTTCAACAGCGGCCTTGTTCATCAAAGTGTGGGCGCTGGAGGTGTGCTACACGGAGGCCGGCCGGCCTGGGTGTCACACCCCAGAGTATCACACACCAGAGAAAAGGGAGGAACCACAGCCTTCAACAAAGGCCACAACAAGGACAGATCCCAGAACACAATGAGTGAAAAAGCAAGTTACAGAACATGACACCATCTTTACAGAGCGTGAAACCAAACAACGTCATACGCTGGGGCCACATACAGTACTCACAGCGCAAGGGGCAGCAGAAAGCTGCTTACGAAACAAAGCAAGGGGATAATAAGCACAAAGAGCAAGATGGTGGTTAACTCTGGGGCCGTCAGTCGGCGCCCTGGTATTCATCGTATTATTTTATTACACAGATGCCCCCTGATTATATGTTTTGTATGTATTAAATATTTCGTAATTACAAACCCTCCCCAGGCAGAGCAGCGGTCATTACTCAAGCCCCAGGCCTGCAGGCTCTGGCGTGCCTTCCAGGCTCCTGCCGGCCGTGGCTGCTCATGGCTCACGCCTCCCGGGGCGCAGGCGGCCAGATGACAGCACGCTGAGCCCACTGTCCTTTGCTCCTTCTGGATCTCCATCTCCCCTTTCAGCCTGACCCATTGGCTCCAGCAAGCTGATTCCCACCTCGGTGGGCCTGTCCCCTGGGATGCGCAGGCCTCGGGTACCAGCCAGTGCGGCCCCCCCACCTTCCTGCTCCTCATTCATCCATTCAGCGAATACGTGTGGAGCACTTGCTATGTGCCAGGCACCGTGCTCAGTGCTGGGGATGCAGCCGGGAATAAAATCCCACAAAACCCTCTGCCCTCATGGAGCTTACATTTGAGTGGGGGGAGACTGGCAATGAACACTGAACTAATACCTAGAAATCAAGAAGAAAGAAAGCAAAAGCCACAGCAGAGCCGAAGGATAGGGAGTGAAGGGAATGGCAGGGAGTGGGTTTGGATAAGGTGGTTGGGGAAGGCCTCCCCGAGGAGGTGACACTGGAACAGAGGTGACCTGGGGCAGAAACATGAGGAAGGGAGGGGGACCACATGGGTATCTCTGGAAGAGGCTTCCTGCCTGACGGAGGTAAAGGGCAAGGGCCCCTGCCCCTCCTCTCGCCTTCTCCTCCTTCTCCTGGAGCTTCCCCCACCCCACCGCAGCCCAGACCTTTCTCAAGCACCCTGACCTGCTACTCACCTCATCCCCTATTCTAGTTGTAAAAGGGACCCAGGCTTTCAGGGGGAAGGGGACTGGGAGGTTTCCAGGCCACAGAGGCACCTCCATTTGCACTGACCTTTGCTCTGAGCCCTTAGCCTGTCCCCACTGCTCCTGGGAAGGCAGATTTGCTCGAGGGATTAGCCAGGAGTCATATTTCCTGAGCCATCTTCCACTTAGCTTCTTTCCTGTGGGCATCACCAGGCCTCAGGGCTGGGTTTGGCCTACAGGCTGTGATTTCTCCCATCCTTGTCAAACCTGTAATACCAGTGCCTGGAAAAAAGATGTTGGCTTAATTACTATTAGTAGCACTAACGACTTCCTACTCCTGAATCTCCCTGAGTGCCACCTGCAGGTAAACTTACCTAGAGAACAGTCTGGAGGAACTTCTCCACATGCCAACGCTTGCATGCCCCCAGGGTCGCCATGGCAGAGCAGCTCGGGCAGTGGGTGAGGACCAAAACATTGCAGAGGTGACACTGAGTCCAGAGACCTGGGGCCCATCTGGGGCTCTGCACAGTGAGGGCCCAGCAGGGTCCTTCTCTGTGCAGGCCAGGCTGACAATGTTTGTTGGCATCTCCTCCTGAGTCCTCTACCCCAGCGACCTCAGGCCCCAAGCAAATGGCCGGGAGTACTCTGTTGGGTGTCTGCCACTCCCAGGGTGGCCTGCAGTGAAGGTGGAAGCCTCAGACGTAGTCGTCACAAACACTGACTGTTGTGTGAAGTCCTAAAGGAAAACACCTGCAGGCCGATTCCACACGTTGAATATCTCCCGCCTCATTGGTTCACTCTTTCATTCGAGCTCCTACATTGTGGGTACAAGGGGGACAGAGACGCAGAATGACAGCTCACGGTTTTTGGGTTCTTACGGTGTACCAGTACAATGTTAAGTGCTTTGCTTGTATTTTCTCACTGAATTCTCAACCAGCTCTATGGGGGTGGGTGGGGGGGAGGGTATTCTACCTGAGGATCTGTAAGCACCTGAAGGTTGGAGAGGGTAAACGCCACTGGCCAGGCAGCCCCTGGCGAGTTAGGGTTCAGGCTCCTGAAGACATAGGCCCTGTCTTGGAACCTACCAGCTGGGGGGGCACAGATGGAACAGAGATGGTTCACATTACAGCATGGCAGCTGAGGCAGGTCCGAACACTTGTCACTACAAAGCCCTGTCCCAGAGGGAGATAGCACTGCTGTGGGCTTACAGAGGACCAGTCAGCCGTGGAGCAGAGCTCCTTGGCCTGGGTCTCCAAGAATGCGCAGGAACGTCCCTCCTGGACCAGAGGGGAGCAAACATTCCAGGCAAACGTCTGGAGAGACAGGTCTCCAGGCTAGAGCTGAGAGGAGAACACGAGGGTCTGAGGGGGAGGTGTGGAGATCTGCGGAGATTCCTCCTCCTCTTCTTCCTCTTCCCTCTTGGTGGAATCAAAGGGACCAGGTGCTAAAGGGTCCCCTGCTAAAACTTTAACACATCCCTTTCCTGGGGCTGTCCCCAGCATCTGAGACCTTTCAGGTCCACCTTCGACATAGTCCTTGGGGGTGCCTGAAGGTTATGCTGGTCATGGCTGAAGTTATCTCCTAACCTTCCCTCCTCACATCCAATGTCTCAGTTCAGCTTCCTCGTGGTGAAGTGCCATCCACAAGGTCTGTCCTTCTGGGGCTGCTGAGGAGATAAGAGACGGATGAACCTGTGTGAAACTCTTGGAAAGCTGGTGTGAGGCACCCGGAAGGGGCGATGCGGATGATGACAGCGCTTCCTCACCCCTGGCGTTCCAGAAGGTCAGCTCCCTCCTCAAATGCAGTGTCTGGAATCCAACATCCTCAGCCCAGCCCCAGCTATCACCCTGGTGTACCCACAACCATCTCTCTCCTGAGCTACTGGCAGTGTTCTCAGTACAGCAGCCAGTCAGAGTCCTAAAATAGAGGTCAGAAAGTCCTGCACGGACCTCCCACTTCACCAGAGTCAAAGCCAAGGTCTTCATAATGGCCCACAAGGCCCGCCAAGGACTGAAACGCCTCCTCCTCCCTCTGAGCTCTCCTGCTTCACCTCACCTCCCTCATTCCACTCCAGCCACACTGGTCTCTTTGGTCTCGCTCCAACTCACGAAATATGCTCTCACCCCAGGGCCTTTGCACTGCTGTTTCCTCTGCCAAGAATGCTCTTCCCCCAGAGATATCCTCATGGCTCTCTCTCTCACCTTCTTTGAGTCTTCATCAGATGTCACTTCCAAGAGGCCGTTGCTAACATCCCACTGAAAACTGCAGCATCTTCCACACCCCTTGCCCCCAACTCTTTATTCTCCTCACTTGGCCCTGCTCTGTTTCTTCAAGTAGCCATCTTTACTTTCTAACTTACTACTTTATTTTGCTTATTTATTTCCCTGACTGCAATGAAAGCTCTACCAAGGCAGACATTTTGTCTGTTTAGGTCTGCATTGTATTGCCAGCATCTAAAACAGCACCTAGCACATAGCAGGTGATCACTACATAGTTATCAAATAACTGAAAGAATGCACACCTTGGACACCTGCCCCAGCTCTCAGTTGCAGAGCCAAGGCAAAGAAAGCCCACTGGTACTTTGCATCCTCCTCAGAGGGCAAGGGAGCTGCATCTCAGCTGGTAGCCGTCCTTGCCAGGCTCAGTGCAACTCAACAGACATTTATGGTGCCCCTGGGCAGGTGCTGTGCGGGCCTGACATAAAGGCCTCTCTGCCCACCTCATCTGGGTGGGGGCTAAGGCTGCCAGGAGCAGAGGGGGCGCTGCTAAGGGGGACAGGCCAACCCAGGCCCAGAGGGATCTACTTGAAATCTAAGAGGGCAGGACAAGCTCAGGCAGGCCTCCCCCTCACACCCGCCTTGCACCAGGCCCTGGGCCCTCTTAGTCCTGCCTGGCGAGTGACCTTCCCCAGGGTCGCTGCCCCTTTTAGGCCTCATTCCCATCTGCCCCCTCGCAGTTTCTCCCAGATCCCCATCCTGCCGGACCCCCACCCCTCACCCCCCCTTTTCC